GTGGACCCCGGGCCGCAGAGGGACTGGAGTCCACCCCCACGCGCGTGGGGGAGGGGGTGCTGCCACTGGGTTCCCCTTTTCTGCAGCTCAGAGCCTGGGGAAGTGATTGCTCAAGGGGGGGCCGGAAGAACCCAGGTTTCCGTGTCTCCCGCCCCCCCAGCTGGTGGGGAGGGGCCGAGGCGGGACACCCTGTCGGCCCGCTCCGTCCGTCGGATCTGGCAGCTTCTCAGACCTGCGAGTCGCAGAGGAGGCGCTGACCCCCACCCCAACGGAGAGGGCCGGGCCGGCGCGATCCAGAACCGCGGGAACCTGCCACCGACTTGCCCCCGCTGCAGCGGCGCACGCCCCTTTGGCAGCCAGGGGAGGCCCAGACCGAACCGGCCCCTCCCGCTCCCGCCTCGCCGTTGGGTCGCTGGTGAGTGGGGCGCCATGGCGACTTCCTCGAGGTCCGGGTGGGGGCCTCCCGTCCCTGCAAAAGGAGACAGGCTTTTGCAGGCCAGACCCTCCCGCAGGAAAAGGGATCGAGAAGTGAGTCTCCGCCGCCACTGGGAAGGTGGGCTGGGGCGAGGGTCACCGGGTGAGGAACATTGGCCTCGGAGGAGCCAATCTGCGGCTCCCCCACCAGCCAGATGTGGGGGGCGGGGGGCAGGTAGGAAAGGTACTGAGCAGGATTAGGAGGGAATGGAGCCCGAAGGTGATGGCAAGTCTACTTAGAGGTACACTGGCTGCCTGTCCAGTCTCTTTCATCCCAGACTGGGGAGGGGGTGGGGAGCTTCCAGGGACTAGGGAAGGGGATGGGGAGCTCCCCTCCAAATGTCAGGATGAGGGGCAGGAACCCCAGCCAGGAGAGAGTAGGCGCCCTGGGGCACAAGCTGGCCACAGCCAGCCTGAAAAGGGAGTCAGGTCCAGGGCCTGCAACCTGGACAGCAGGAACTTGTCCCCGCTCTGCCCCAAATTTGGACTCCAGCACCTGGGCCCTGCACCCTCAGACAGGACCCCTCTGCTTCAGAGCTGAGTCGGAGATGGCAGCCCACTCAGGTGCTCCGGGCTGGGGGCAGGACGAGGCCCTGCCCCCACTGACGGGTGGGGGTGCAGAGGAGGAAGAGCAGCTCTGCCTGGGGAAGTCACAGCAGCCTGGGTACAGCTACAGCTGCAGGCCGCAGAGGCTGCCACACCCCTTCCTTTCCCTAGAAACTTGACCCCTGAGGAAAAAGCTGTGGGCTGCTGCTTCCCCATCCGTTTGCTGGGAGCCCCTAGGACCAAGTTTGAACCCTCACCCTACCCTGCCATGATCTCAGGGTTGTAAGGGGCTAAGGCCCCAGGGGACCCTGTGCCTTGCTCCCAGTTATGGGTCAGGGCAGGGGCCTCTGTGCCAGGCCCTGAGACGGGTGCCCTGAGCATGCACAGTGTTCTGGCCCAGACCTGGCCAGGGCCAGAATGGAGCCCTGCTCCAGAGCTGCTGGCCTGGGGACTGCCAGGACCTGTCCCTAGAGCATCCACCCTCCCCTCCTGACCATGGCCTAGGCCAGCATGGACCACAAAGGATTAAAAGATCCTCAGCTGACTGATGTGAAACCAAGTTTTGAGCCTCCTGCCGGCTGAGACAGGTGGTGGGAGCTCAAGAAAGTTTGCGAGGCAGATGGACAGGGCTCCCCAGGCCCTGTGGGCCCTCAGCTGGGCGAGGTGAGCGCAGGCAGGGGCCGTGGTGGGGAGACATTCAAAACTGCCTCCAGGGTGCTGGTGGCTGCCCTGTGCTGTCACTTTCGAGGTGCAGTACTTGGGGATCTGCAGTCGGCCTCCCTGGAGACACATGAAGGCTGCCTGGCTCGAGCCTTCAGCTCCCCACCCCCACCCCCGTTCCCCGCACCCCCTGCGCAGAAAATGCTGCAGAGACTTTCTGCAGGGACACTGAGAAGGACACACCCCTTGCCTCCCCTGAGTACCCCGCAGTTCCAGCTAGGGAGCAGGACACCCCCTCCCCTCCCGCTGCAGCCCCTGCTCTCCTCCCCCCACCTGTGCCCTCTGCTCTGTGGCAAGGCAGCAGTTTCCCCAGCCCGGAGCAGGGAGGGAGGCCCGGAGACCTGGGCAGTAAGTGGCCAGCTGGGGGTCGGGGCTACCAGGGGCCAGTCGTTGAGGACAGGGGAGCGGTAGGTCCACCGCAGAAAACTCATGGCTCTCCTCACCATGAGCCCTGCTCCCACGCCCTCAGGAAGCCCCGCTCCCTTTCCCACTCAGACCCTTCATGCTGCAGGCATGGTCGGCACCCCTTGCTCAGTCCCAGTGACCAGGGCATTGCTGTGGGGCCCAGGGGCAGATCTGGATTCCTGGTGGGAAGCAACCCTACCCACCCCCACCCCCCAGCACAACCTCCACAGGAGACCCAGGACAGGGGGAGCTGGGACGGGGGTTCTGCATGTCTCACCATCCTCCCTGTGCACTGACCTGACAGCCCCAGGCTCTTGGGGCCCCCAGCCCCCTTGGGAGGGGCCAGGAGCCGGAAACCAAGAAAGAGGAACCCAGGCTTCCGGCTTCCCAGGGACCGAGCAGATGGGGGTGTCCCAGAACCTCCTGGGAGCTCTTCACAGCCCTGATAGAGGCTGGGGCGAGCTGCAGGCAGGGGAGCGGGCCCTGCTGGGCTCCAGGAAGGAGGGAGGCAACTCTCAAGGCCCGTCCCAGGGGCCTCAGGGCTGGGGTCTCAGGTTCTCTGAGAACCTTGGCCTCTCCTCAGACCCCCAGGTTGTGGTCAGGGTCCCGAGCCGGCATCACGGAGCCCGAGCGACGACCTCCACCCACCCATGCCCACCGCGCATGAGGCCGAGAAGCAGGTGCACCTCCTCCGTCCCTGCCTCACCCCCTCAGGGACTGGGGGGGGGGGCAACAAGGAATTGAGGGACCCTCCAGCACTGGGGAGGCTGGAACAGTTCTGCCTTTGGGAGCGTGGCCACCTGTGACTGAGGCAGCCCGTCTCCCCCAGCACACAGGGCCAGAGGAGGCAGACCAGCCTCCCTCCATGTCCAGTCATGCGGGGCCCCCGGCTCCCCCCAGCCGCAACCCCTGCTGCTTGTGCTGGTGTTGCTGTTGCAGCTGCTCCTGGTACGTGGGGGTGGGGAGGGGTGGGCTGAGCAGACCTGGGCCTAAGACCCCACTCCCTGACCCTCATGTGGCTTCTGAGGCATCACCTGCAGGCAGGACGCCTCTGCCACCCACAACACGTACCCAGGGGCTGTTGGGTTCTGGTGGCTGGTAGCCAGTGCCCTGTGTGTGCGCACCCCTCTGTCTTTTATTCAGCACACGCTAACTGGCACCACTTACAGCCGGCCCCTGCTGGCCCTGCGGACCCACAGACTGTCAGATGGAGGGGGCTGAGCAGAGGCCTGGCCTGGGACAATGGGGACACACCTCCAGAGCAGCTGCTGGAGTGGGCATGGGGCTCCAGGTCGTCCCCGGGTGGGCAGGCATCTGGGGAAGCTGTTTGAGTTTTTGTGCCTTTCAGAGGCCTGACCCGACTCAGACTCCCAGCCCTTAATTGCAGAATGGATAGCACTGCGGGGAACCAAAGGGAGCAAGCGAGGCCAGAGCCCAGATCCAGGATGGCTGAGGGTGGGCTGGGGGTGGAGAATAGGAAGAGTTGGAACTCACTGAGAGTTTGGCTTCGGAGGCCAAGGGGTGTTTGGGGTCAGGCAGGCGGCAGTAGGTGTGGAGTTCTGTGTGGACGCTTTGGTGTGAGGTGTCTGTTAGCCAGGCATGGGTTTGGGAGCCAGAGGGGAAAGACAGGCTTCTAGGGAGAGTTGGGAGCCACCCCTTGGGCCAGGGGCTTCCCCACCCCAACAGTAGGGCCTTTGGGAGAAAGTGGGTGAGGTCAGACGGGGGGATACCAGGAACCCGTGAAGGCCCAAAGGCAGGAAGGCAGTGGAGGTCCTGGGTCAAATGCAGCTAGAGCAGCCAAGGCCTGGGGGCAGGGGGAAGGAGCGGATCCCAGGGCTGCCACCTGCGGTGGGCTCACAGGTGCCGAGAGCCCCAGGCCTCGTGTCCACACGTGCTGAGTGTCCGTGTTCACGCATGGGCCCGCATATCTGCCATCAGGAGTGAAGGGCGGCGACCAGCATGGCGGGCTTCCGGGGAGAGCAAGCTGCAGCCCCTCCCCAGCTGCGAAGCTTGGTGAGTCTGGGGCCGTGAGCATCTGTGGGCGGGGTGGGGGGGTGTCTGGGTGGAGCGGCACGTGCTTGACCTGGCGGCGGGTGCCCCAGCAGCACGCCAAGCCCTGAGGAGGTGCAGAGCTGGGCACAGTCCTTCGACAAGCTGATGCACAGCCCTGCGGGCCGCAGCGCGTTCCGGGCGTTCCTGCGCACGGAGTACAGCGAGGAGAACATGCTCTTCTGGCTGGCCTGCGAGGAGCTCAAGGCCGAGGCCAACCAGCACGTGGTGGACGAGAAGGCGCGGCTCATCTATGAGGATTACGTGTCCATCCTGTCCCCCAAGGAGGTGAGCCTGGACTCCCGCGTCCGGGAAGGCATCAACAAGAAGATGCAGGAGCCGTCCGCGCACACGTTCGACGACGCACAGCTGCAGATCTACACACTCATGCACCGGGACTCCTACCCCCGCTTCCTCAGCTCCCCCGCCTACCGTGCCCTGCTGCTCCAGGGGGACTCCCAGTCCTCCCACGAGGCCTAGGCCGCCCCCCACCGGCAGACTCGGGTCACCTTTCCCATGCAGCAGCCGGTGTGGGCACACCAGGCCCAGCACCCTGAGGGCAGGCCAGCAGCTCCCCCCGCCCAAGGGCAAGTGCCCTGAGGTCCTGCTAACAGGCAGGGGTGCTGGCCGGCCAGGGGCTCCGCCTGGTGAGGGGCGGACCCTCCAGGAGGCATCTCGGATCCACCAGCCTCGAGAGGCCCTGGAGCCTGGAAAAGTGCCTTTGATGGAAGAGACCTCTGCACTGTCCAGTGTGTAGCGTGGCCAGACCTTCCAGCGGGAGCTGTTGCTCCCCGGAATCAGACCCAGAACCTCTGAACTAGGCTCAAGGTGACAGGATCCAGTTTCTCTCTTCTATGTTCATTAACTTTGAATCTGGAAACTTGTCCTCGCTGTATTTTATAAGGAAAAAAAGTTTTCATATTTATCTCCATTCCAAAATAGGATGTCTTGTTATACTTTTAAAGCAAGTCTCCTCCTTTCCATGTCCAGACCCAGGCAGGGGAGCAGGCGTGGTCCCACCCCAGCAGGTGTGGCTCCCGCAGCACCTCGCCAGGACTGGCCGTGCGATGGCCAGCACTGCCCAAGCCTTGGGTGGGCAGGGTCCTGAAACGCCTCAAAGGTCACCCCAGAGACTGGCCTGCAGGGCAGTACCCATGGGGTGAACCCTCCCTGAGGGTCCCCGGTGCCAGACACTATTAACTCCGCTGTCTCAGGCATGTGCTGGCCACTTGTCCCTGAATTTCTGGGACGCAAAGGGGTTTGATGCTGCATGTGGTCCGAGGCCCTGAGATAGTCGGAGATCTAGCCCCTCCCCCGCCAATGCCTCCCAGAGCAGACTGGCTGTCGGGAAGGGCCGCCAGTGGAGGCTGAGGGACCCAGACTTGCCCTGGGCCCTGAGCTGCAGTGCCTGGGGAGGAGACCGGGTCCTCTGTGTGCCCGCGGCCCCCTCCACTCGGTCCCTCCAGCACTGCTCCCCCAGGGCCACCCCCATGTTCCCTACCCCAAGAAGGAGGGTTGTCCCCAGCAGCAGTGGGAAACCCAACTCACAGCCCAAGCTCTGCATAGCCCACCAGAACCAAAAGCCAAGGGCAGCATGGTGGCAAGAAGAAACATTTAATCATTTGGATACAGGTGCGCTGCAGATGGGGGGTGGGTGTCTGCCTTCTGGGGACAGCCAGGAAGGCACAGGCAGGGCTTCAGAGGCTGTGTCCACAGGAGGCGAGGAGGGACAGCCAGCGCTGGCCGCCGTTGCGGGCACCTCTGCAGGAGGGGTCAGCAGAACTGCAAGGAATGGGGGACACTCAGCATTGGTGACCCTGAGGGCGGGAGGCAGGAGCGGGTGAGGTCTCCACCATCCTCACCAGCGCTTCCAGGAGGCTGGCTGAGCAGGGCTGTAATCCAGTTCACACTGTGCAGACCCCACACGGGTTGGAGATCCCATCCCAGAGGAAGGGGCCCTGGGTTTACCCACATACCTTCCAGCGGTTCCCACACTCGTTGCAGACAACAAAGGTGGTCATCGGCTCGTCAGAGCTGCGGGTCTGCACCTGCGGGAGGAGGTGGTGAGGACCCCCAGCCTCGCGCAGGTCTTCCCTGGAGTCACAACCTAGGAGGCCACCCATGCTGGGCTCGCAGCCCCGGGGTCCCTGTGGGTGACATGCCCAGCTGCCCCAGCGACCCAGCCTTCCAGCCACCCTGACCCGCTCCTCTTCCCAGGGCCCTGATGCCTCCTGGGGACCACAGTAGTGTGGCCTCTGCGGGTCTGGGTGTGATTCCATAGCCACCACCAGGGAGCACAGCCCACCCCCTCCCACCAGGAGCAACAGTCCTCGGGCCCCTCCATGCTGGGCTGGGCCATGTTCCCCAACTTTAGTGTCCACAGCAAGCAGGACCTACCCCCCCAAGATGCTGCTTACTGGGGCCCAAGGGTCCTGGCAAGGGGGGAGGCCCCAAAGGTGACCATCACTCCCTGGCTTGGGTCCCAGCCCTGGCACCATTCACACTATGGGGTCAGGTGTGTGGGTGTGGACCCCAACCACAGGGCCGGCTCTGAGGGCACTTGGGGTCCTGAGGGGGTGGCCGCACACCTGTGTGTAGGTGCAGTTCTTCTTCCTGCACTTGCTGCAGGTGAACAGGTCTGTCTGGGTGCCCCCTGTGCGGGCCATCTGATGCTCTCGGATAGCCTCCTTGGTCATGGCCTTGCGGATCTCCTTCAGCTCATCACTGGCCATCTCCTGGGGGAGGGGGGGCTTAGCTGTGCAGCCAGCTCTGCAGGCAGCGCCCCCCCTCCACCGGGCAGGGCCGGGGAGCACCTCCGACGTCATCACCGCGATCTGCTGGGGCGTGATGGTGCCACACAGCACGTTCCGCCGCAGGTCAGGGTTCTTGGCGTCCTTGAGGTTGGCAATGCGGCTCCGCACGCGGTTCTTATACTTCATGTCCGTGTTCCCCACATCCCGGAAGATGCGTGCGGGCATTTAAGGACCCGCTGTAGGCTGAGGCTGCTGACCTCCACCCACCCCGCTGGGCCAGGGAGGGCCTCCCAGTGGGGGCCGCCAGGGTAGGGGCTGGGCTGGGAAGAGGAGCCCAGCCCTCTGGATCAGTCTGCCCCCAAGTCAAGTGGTGAGCTGAGGGGCTTCTGGGTGGCCCACCTGGACCCAGTCCTGGCTGGGTCCCAGCTGCAGGCCAAGGCCCAGGCCGTACCAGCAGGCGGAACCAGCCCGCAGCAGGCTCAGGGATGAGCTGACCGCATCACCCCATAGCCTGGCAAAGGCGCCAGGGCAGTGGCCACCAGGGCAAGCTGGGCCTGGCTGGCCCGCTGACTCCTCTGGAACCCCCAGCCCTAAGCCCCTGCACAAAGGATATATTCCTCGATCTGGGCCGACAGGCGCTCGCAATCTGCACTGATGGCCGTGTGCTCACCTGCAGGAAGCAGCTCTCTCCAGCCGCCCCGCTGGCTCCTCACCCCCTCAGCCCGCCCAGCACCAGGTGGCAGCAGTGGGTTGGGGACCAAGCTGTCTGGTGGGCACTCACGGTCCGTCTGCAGGGCGGCCGTCAGCATCTCCCGGCACTTGTTCCGCACGGCGTCACAGGTGACCGGCGCTGGGGGGAACGTGGTCATCCTCGGGGCTGGCGGTGCCCGGGGCAGCTCCCGCCTCTGGCCACTGGAGAGAGACCGGCCCCTCGCACCACGTGAACTCATGAGACACCAGCCACCAGAAAGGTCAGCATCATGGCCAGTTTCCCCTAAATCCCTTCAGCACCCCCCAAAGAGCAGCCAGTGACCCCATGCATCTGCGGTCCAGCCCAGCTTGCCCTGGGGTCTGCCCCACTGTCCAGAGGTAGTGAGGCCATCTGGGTAGGGCACCGACAGAGCACTAGGGGGGCAGCATCACACCCAGGGAAGCCCAGACCACGGGGCCACAATACCCAACACCATGTGCCAGATCAAGGAGAGGCAGTTGGGGCTGGGAGTCACCCAAGGCCAGGTCTGCCCACCAGCATGGCTGCCCTCACAGGGCTGGGAGCCCCAGCCAGGCTGCCTGCCATCCAGGCTGCATCCTCCCACCCTCTCTCACAGTCTCATGCGGGTTTCATGCCGTGACCCCCATGAGGGAGGGAGAGGCCGCAGTGAGTGATGCAAGTTCAAGGGTGTGCAACCTGAGAACCAGACCAAGGGCCGGCCTGCAGCCCCCTCAGGGTTGCACCGCTCTTTTCAGCTCAGACATAGCCTGGCCCCTCGATGGTGGCGCTGAAGGCAGTGTCTAGAGGAGCTTTGGAAGGAAGGCATACCCAAGAGTCCCTCCAAGAGGCTAGCAGGGCCCACGTTCATGTGTCCTCAGCCTGCCCAGGGCGCAGAAGTCAGCACCTTCATGCAGGTAGGTCCCTGGCGGCAGGAAGTGTGCACCGCCTCCCAGGTGCACTACCTGGAATCCTTGACCTCCGAGCCCTCCTTTGAGGATGATGTGGGCGGAGGCCCGCCCCTCCTCCGGTCCCTGGCTTTGGCATCTGAAGCATCTGCAAGTGCCCAGAAAGGAGGGGGTGTGGCTGGCTAGGGGAAGGCAGGCCGAAGGGCAGGGCCAGGCCAGGGAGGGGAGCAGATCATCACCAAGGCACAACCTCAGGTAGCTTGCCAGCCGCAACCCCCCACCCCCGCCCAACCCTGTCCTCCCCCACCAGGCCCTAGTGCTGAGCCTTCCTGCTAACAACCAAATGGGGCCCTCTCCTGCCCAGACTCAGAAGGGTGGCCCCCACCCCTTTCTCATACACATCCCCCCTCTAGAGGCTGCCTGTGGGCCTTTCTGGGGTCCCCCCAACTGCCCGTCCTGCTGGAGCAGACTGCCATCCACCCAGTGATTCCTGTGTACACTCTCCCTGGCATGCGCACACACAGGCAAAGTCCCCACAGGTGAAGCACTTGAACTTGGACAAAGGCGAGCCAGGACAGGCCATGACCCAGCTGGACCTTGGGCACCAGTGACCCCTCCCCTGAGCACATCCCCCACTAGTCTCCTGAGACCCTGGTCTCCCTGGGACCTTCCCGCGGGATGAGGATCCCACCCACCACCAGGCCACGCGGGACCAGAAGGAGACCCGGGACACACCTCTGCAGTCCCCAGGAGGAGGCTGCCCCAACCCCTCTGAGGGGCAATGCCCCCCTTCCTCTCTGCCACCTCCCTCTTCTTCCCTCCTTTTCCTCACCCTTCGCCCCTTCTCCCTCATCCCCCTCACTTCGCCCCTGGCTGGGTGGCTCCCTGCCCTCCTGCCCAAGCCCTGCACTCACCCTCCACTCTCCTCTCTCCTGGCTTTACCTAGCAGCCCGACCCTCCCTCCGGCCCTCAGCCCCACTCCCAGGTGGCTCTGACGCAGGGACAGTGGGGCCCAGCACAGCCCGTGCTGCTGACACGCACCCAGGAGCTTCTTCCAGGACTTGATGAGCGACTTGGCCAGGGCAGTGACCTCCTCGTCCGAGCTCTGCTTCCGCAGGGCGTTGACAGACATGCCGACCCGGGTGGACTGCAAGGCAAGCGTGTGGGCTGGCCCGCCAGGCCCCGCACAGACCCTCGGAGCTCCCCCGGGGCGGGGCTGAGGGAAGGGGACACTTCCCGAGGGCTACTGCCCCACCTGGGACTTGGGAAGCTCAGGGTGAGGGCAGGTGGGCCACCCTGTCCCTCTCCCTCTCAGAAAACAGAACAAGGCACAGATGGTCTCTTCGGGAAGGGGTTTGTACTGACCAAGGACGGAGGGGGGCGGCCAGGGAGCCCTGTGAGGGCCCAGGAGCTGTCCCCGGAGCTGTCCTGAGCAGGGGCACGAGGGCCCTACCTGGAGCAGGTGCAGCGTGACCGGCATGGCCTTCAGCTCCCGCAGCAGGTCCACGGCCCCCTCCTAGAACGGGCAGGGGTGCCTTCGTGAAGGACTCTGAGTCTCAGTGCACAGGCCCACCTCTGACAACGAGGGGGACAGGGCAGTGACGATCTGGAGATCCCCCTGGGCCAGAGACCCCGGAGGGTAGGAGTGAGAAGTGGCCATGCACTCACCCAGCAGTACAGGTCCTGTGACTTCTCACCCGGCATCAGCCACTGACCAAACCAGGACGACGGGAAATGCCTTGGAGGGCACAGCCAGGTGGAGGGGTGGCCCAGGGTGCTAACTGTCCTGTGCAGTCCCATGCCCCTTGCCCACTCACCCACTGAGAGGGGCTGACCCAGGGCCCAGGGCGCCTCCACCACACCCACACCCAGGTTCACAGCCCCCCACCCCACCCCCATCAGTCTCTGCAGGACTCTCAGGCCCTGGCCAGCCACCCCCCTCGCCTGGACTATTAGACCCCTGGGCTTTCTCTGCCTCACCCCCCACCCCACACCTGTTTTCTCCAAGCCCTGACACAATAAGGCACAGTTCCTCAAGGCTCCTCCAGGGGCCAAGCTGCTGCGCCCACTACAGGGTGCCCCAAGGGCTGTGCCCTCCCTCCCTCAGAGCTGTTTAAATGACACCTTCTCAGTGACCGCACCCCATCCTTCTCCCTGCTTTTCTTCACTCCACAGATGCTTCAATTTTTAATGCAGTGAGGTCTTCATGTGTCTCCCCTGACGTAAAGGGGCAGAGATGACCCACCCGTCACCCAAGCTTGTGAGAGCCTCAGATGTCCCAGGTCGTGGGAGGGCTTGGCCCACCCCCACCACCAATCTGGGCGGCATCCCTGCTCAGGCTACAGCCCTGAGTGACCTCCGAGGGGACGACGTCACTGATCATCTTCCCCTGACGGAACCTCCGGCTCCAGAATGCCAGCTTTCCAGGGCTCCAGACCAGAGGGACCAACTTGATTCCTGACATCCCAAGCAGGACCCCACTACCCCAGGGGCTTCATGGGCACTGGAACCCCCAAGGGCCTCTGCCAGCTCTCACCCCCACTCCACAGCACCCAGCCCTGCCACCTCCGCCAGCAGTGTTCACCAGCCACTGTTCCCTGGGGCTCGGCCTGAGCAGTGCTTCCACCGGCATCCCCTCCCCCCAGTCCTGCCTGGCCCACCTACCCTGCTTGAGCACCGAGACCCATCTCCATCCCCCGCTGGGGGTGTTTATTATTCGTTCTCTCTCATTTCTCTGGCCATCTCTGGAAAAGGCTACAGACTGTTCCCAGGCCCCTGCTCGGCTGCCCACGGCCTCCCAGGCATTTGCACACAAGAGGAGGGTAGGCGCTCCTGGCAGGGTGAACGAATGAATGGGAGCCAGCCCCTTTCCCAGCAACCGGGTCAACCAGGGATCCACACTCAACCCTGCTCAACCCACAGCCACCCCGAACGGTCAGGGCAGGCACCCGGCGGGCATGGCTGCAGGGTGCGAGCCCAGGCCCTCCACTGGCGGAGGCCACGCTCCGCCTGGCGCCCAGGATCTGCGGGGAGCGGAGGGAGTTGGTGTGTGCTGAGCCTCTCCCGGCGGCCAGGACCCTCTCCGCCCACGGGGCGCTT